ATAAACAAAATTACAGGCAATTTGTATAGAAATATACGAATAGCAATAGTAAATTATTTGCACAGCATCAAGGTGATGAATGTTTTCAGCAAATATGTGGCGTAAAATCAAATTCACTGAACAAACAATGTAAAATAATTACAATTCCTCATACATTAGCATAAATGTATGAAACAAATTTAAATTAGAAAATATTTTTCACTACAGAAATTATTTTAACAAAATAATGAAATAGTTTAATAATAATAATACAAATTAATTGTTATATATTAACATGTTTAAATACATACTTACCATAATAACGTTAGTATTATATCAGGCAATATGGGTTGGGTGTGACTGTAGTTTCCCGGCTATGCCGGTGCACGCGAAGGTGCGACCGCTGTTGGGCACCTACACCGAGGACGATATAGTTGACTACTATTGCGAATACACTGATATGAAACTTATTGGAAATGTTCGACGAAAGTGTAATAAAAGTCGTTGGACTGGAGACATACCTCAATGCGGTTCAGTATTTTTAGTCTAATCATTATAATTTGTTTCAATTAGTTTCTCATTATATTAATAGATATGAGTAGACTATTTAATATTAAGTTTACTATTATTAATAAAACAGCATTAATAGTAACATGGTAATGTTTGTGATATTAATGAGTTGGCTTGAATAAAATATAAATTTAGATAATATTTATTGTTAATTTACTTATTGGTTTACTTGTTAATTTTTATATTAATTATGAAATTGTGTGTTCAATAAATTAACTATTATAGATACCGGCTATAAAATAGGTTATTTTGATTACAGTATACTTATAATTAACTTTCTAAATAATCTAAACTATAATATATAAATACATGTATATTGACAATATAATATTGTATTATACTATACTATACAGTACGAGAGATACCTCGGCGCACATTAGACCGCATCGAAATGGTTAACCTCGGCAACCACAGTGTCAGTAATATATATTATTCGCACCAATTGTATTATACGTCAAACTACCTGAGCGAATACCAAAAGCAACAACAAATGACATTTTTCGGTCAGCCCTCCACACCCGGGGAATGCATTCACTCCAAAGTTAAAGCCAACGTAACGTCCCTCGAGTGGCGGCTCGTATTCAAGTGGGCCATCGGACAGGTATATCACGTGGAAATAGTAGTAAACACGGCGAACATGAACCAGGCACTAGATTTTCGCAAAAATGGCTCAATCGTACGCCAGGTATATGTCAGTGACTATAGGGTGTGTAAGCCCGAGGGGACCCCCGAGCCGGTGGAAGTCAACGAAAAACTCTTCAAATACACGTTTGTTTGCGAACTCCGAGACCAGAGTAATGTCCAGAAGTTGGAGGACTTCGCGGCCATTCGGTCCGAAGAGTTGATGAATGTTACCATCGATTTCGGGGTCACAGATGTGACGGTGTGTGAGCTGCACGTGTCGGAGACACTGCCCATACGCTACTATAGCCGCGGCTCCTGTGGCTCACCGGACATACCGTTGTACTCGACGTACGGACCGGTATTTGACGAAACCAGCAATGGATTCATACCTATCGGCTATAGATTTACTTGCGATAACGGTTTCCAATTGGATGGCAACCAAGTAATTAAGTCTTAAAATGTTTTACAAGAATATTCTTTCAGAATATATGAATAGGAAATAGTTTTAAGGACTTAAGTCCATAAACAAAATTCATTATAACAGGTGGTGACTTGCGGTGTAAACAACCAATGGTTGGACAAATTCCCCACTTGTTTGCCCATCGAGTCGTGTCCATTGATGGATAAACACAAACTCGAGGAACTGTCGCTTAAAGTGGACTACAAGAGTCTGTACAGCGCCGACGGCAACATTACAGCCATTAACGGCACTCAAGCCATCTATTCGTGCGACTATCACACCAAAGATGACGATACTATCAATAAGACAATGATTGGCGATTCGTTGCATTTCTGTCAAATCAATGGCAACTGGACGGGGGAGGAACCGAGCTGTTTGGGTCAGGCACATTTCTATTCATTTCTGTTTATAACTCTTAAATCATTTATTATATACATTTTCCAAACAAATTTATATTTTCAGATAAAAACGATAGCAACTGGACGGGGGAGGAACCGAGCTGTTTGGGTCAGGCACATTTCTATTCATTTCTGTTTATAACTCTTAAATCATTTATTATATACATTTTCAAAACAAATTTATATTTTCAGATAAAAACGATTTTACCTTGTATTTGGCTGAAATTAACGAGATTATACTGACATCTGAGTCAAAACTTCCAGAATAGTAAGTAAACCAAATATTCTACAATCTCTGTATATTTCATTAAAAATTCTAACATTTCTTTCCAATTTGAAATTCCTGACCGTTTATATTTTATATGAATATATAAAGTTAAAAGTTGTATAATATTCTATACAGAAATTATTGTTTCAGTATAAGAAATAATGTTTACTATGAAGTATTCTGGTTATTATAGCTAAATATTCTAAAAAGTATAATATACGGTATTTCAAAACAAATAACTGTAAGAAATAATTATATTTATTTTAACCTGGAATATAAAGTTTGTATTATAAACACTTGTATGTATCAATATTCTACTGTATCACCCTGTTAGTGCCCATCACATGCACCAACCTAACCAGTGTGGTATACCAGCCATTCCCAAATACTCCAAAATCTACACATACGACCCGAACCTCATAAGCGTGTATTTCGCGGCACTCAAAGGCAAACTTGATTTGATGCCCTCCTATCCAAACGGGTCGGTCATGACCTATGGCTGTGAATCTCGGTTCGATTACATGGCCAGCGATTTCGGGGCCCGAACCTGCGTTAACGGCTCGTGGGTGGGACAGGTAGGCAAGTGCTATACACCGGTCGGCGGTACGGAAGTGGCCAAAGTTATATCCATTCAGGAAAACACCGGAACGGCTAACGTGTCCTACCATACCATCAAACAAGATATAAGCGATAAATACTGGAGTTATATTGAAACCGGTATTTCATATAACTTACTCTTTTTAATTAAAATTAAATATAATGGATATCTGAGAAATCAATTACTTTTTCAATTAGGAAATATTGTAATATTTTATTCAAACAAACACAATCAATTAGTCTCTTGATACTCACTACACTGAATTCAAAAGTTAGCATAAATATTATATAACAAATAAAAGTCATTGTAATTGTTTATAGAGGAAAGCAATTGCATAAAACTGGAGATCAAGTCGGGCACGATCTACACCTGGACCATTTACCTGTCGATGCCGGTACGCATGTCCTACTTTGCCGTCCGATTCGGCAATAATAAGATATTCCATGACTTGGAGGAAGACATGCTTCGTGTGCACCGGGCTTCACAACTGGACACTCCCTCCCCAATCACTGCTGAACTGTTCGGATACAACTACTGGAGTAATAAACTGGAGTGTGAAGTGACTAAAGTGATTGAGACCAGTATGACCACCGGACTCACACAGGTATCGTTCCGGTGCGATGAGCCCGACTCTGAAATCAGGTATAGATCCCTTACAAATAGGATATCATCAGTATTGAACAGACCTTATCCTCTTTTCAAACATTACACTATATTTTCCAAATGTACAGCTCATCTAAAAGTAAAAAGACGGCCAACCCATACCTCTACTACGGCTATCAGATGACTACGAGCGCCATCAACATTAAGATCAATTCAGACGCCTTTCACGAGAGTTTCGACTCAACCAATACAACACATGTTAACTTGTGTGGACTCATGCTATTCAAGGCGGCCGACGACTGCGGTCTACCCGAGGAGGTGCCCAACGCTGAGATCATATCCAGTCATAGCGAGGGCTATGTTAGGTATAAGTGCAACGAAGGCTACCAACTGGTGGGCAATGAGATCGTCCGGTGCAGCAAATTAGGCAATTGGATGGTGAGAATAAGTCTTTATTTAGCAAATATTCATTGCAAGTTAACTTGGTTTTCTAACTTTAAATAATCAAGTGAACTTATACTGTTGGATCAATTTGATTGTTGAACTGATTTTTCTAAAAATTACTGAACATTTTATTTTGTTAATTTGTTCATAGATAATGTTAATTGAAAGTTAGGTTAATTTATTAATTAAAAAAATACAGTAATTATTCAGTGTTAATACTACTGACAGTGAGTTTTATATTTTAACTTGAATATTCTGTAGGCATGTTTTAGCACATAAAATATATAACAGTTAATACCCTTCAATATTATTTACACTTTATATTAAACGCATAATGACTTATTTAAGATATCATACTTAATTACAGATAACGATTTATTATGACAAAGATTATGTGATTGTCTTTAGTTAAAAATTGTTAATTAGATTTTTTAAAATGTACAATTTAATTAGATTTTATCTCATTAGGGTTTATTTTATTACGACCATTACAGGTATCATTGACTGATATTATTACAGAGAAGTGATAATTACAATAATTATAAAAATGAATACAAGGTTTGAATGAAATATTAAAACGACAAAAATTATTGGAAAGTGATCTTAAACCAGATATTCATACCATTAAATCTACAATATGTTTCAGTATTAGATTAGAGATTAGATAAATAGATAAGAGAGAAAATTAATTTATTATAAACAGTGGATTGATTTCAAGTGTGAATGAATGAATGAATGAGTGAGTGAGTGAGTGAGTGAGTGAGTGAGTGTGAGTGAGTGAGTGTGAGTGAGTGTGAGAGAAAGAGAGAGAAAAAAATAAAAATAATTAATTAAACTATATTTAATTGATTTAAGGTTATCGGTACTGATCAGGCTACTTTTGTACAGTCATTAAAATTATTAATAATGTTAAGCCGTAATATAATTTACAATTAAAACTAATTGCACTTTTTAATTATATAAATAAGTAACTAAAAAGATTTTACAAACAAACATTTCTTCGTATTTAAAAATTTACAAATATATGTAATGCATATTTAATTACTTTAGCAATAATTATCTAGTAATTTATATTATAATTTATAAATATACAGTACTTTACGTAATACTAAAATTTACAAATTAATATTTGAACCAGGATGAATTTCCAAGATGCGAATTATATAAATTGTGTGAAATGAACAAAACCACAACACATGATGTTTTGCAGCGAAACTATTTCAATACAATGATTATAAATGGTCAGGAAGTGGCCGTTTTGGGCACAATCATCGAGTTTACTTGTCAGGGTGAAAAACTTGATACAGGGAAGCATATAATGATTGGTCCTAGGTCTATTGTGTGTACCAAAACGGGTCATTGGAGTACTACTGAGCCTATTTGTGCAGGTATATTTTTAAATATCCCCCTTTTAAGTTAAATACTTATTTCTCTTTTAATAATGAATTTTTATAAGACAATAAAAGCTACTAATGCTTTTTCTTAAAAATATTTTAATGCAATCCTTAAAAGAATAAATAACTAGTTTATAATAAAACTATTAATATATTAATCAATTAAAGAATAAAAGAATTTTTATATAAAATATACATTAATAATATAAATAATACAACATTTCAAGGAATGCTAAATAGTGCACAAAATATTAATAAATTTAGCAAAAATCGATATACAAAATTATGTAGTTTGGAGTTAACATTCACTATACTGACTATATAGTATATACAAATACACATCGTATAACCTTGCTTATTGAGCACATCTCAAGAATTTAATACACTGAACCACTTTACACTATATTTGATTGCTGACAGATGACGCCTATTTCGGAAAGTATGGCATATCTACAGAATCTGGGGGTTCCAGTAGTATAGCCGTACCGATGGCTATATTCACGGTAATCGTACTAATCATCATTGGTGTGGCGGTGCTACTAGTCTACCGGCGCTATGGTTTCTCCAACCCGTTCCTCACATGTATGACCCGCCGCGAGCCGACCCGTCGTTCCTCCACTTTCATAAGCTATGGCCAGTCAAACCTTAGGGACTCAGTCGTCAGTTTCACGGATGGGGGCAGCCTTTCATCAGCCAATTCCTACACGAATAGCAATAGTAATAACAATAATATCGCAAACGGAAGAATGAATGCAAATCTCATTAAAATTTAAATAATATTTTCCATGTTTTTAACATATTAATCAATTTGATTAACTGGCACTCGTTGATGTCTTCTTTTAAACTAACCTTGATATTTATTGATCGCTTGTTTTATATTTGTTTTAAAAAAGACATTAAGAACTTTTATGATATGTAAAATTATTAAATATTTTTGTTTTCCTAAATGGATTGCCACTATTTTATTTATGCATAAATTGAGTTAAATATTTGTTTGTGTTATCATTTGTATAAATAGTTAAGATTTTATACTCTATTGTTTGGAGAGAGAGAGAGAGAGAGAGAGAGAGGAGAGAGAGATATTGGACATAAGTAGAGGGATGTAGAGAATATGTAACACATAATTACCAGGAAGTCTATGTATATACATAAAAAAAAGTAAAATACTGAAAAAAACATAAGCAAATTATTAGGAAATAATTAGATATTCAGCTCAAGGCTTGTATAACAACTTTGTTTAGCGAAAAAACAATTATCATAATGTTTAACATAAAAACAATAGACAAATGAATGAAACAAATATTAAAATTATTATATGTGTTGTGTACTTTTCAATATAAAGATTTTCATTCATATTTTATGATTGATTGTACGGCTAGTCCTTTAAAAGTACGGTTATATTGAGCTTATGGTGAGTTGCGGGCTGAATGTATCCGGAGTCTGGACTTTATGATAACATACTATGCCCAGTGAGCTGAGTTGGTATATGCAATACAGTAAAATTGAAGCTTGGTTTATGATAAAATATTTGTATAAATCAATATAAATATAATCTATTTTCATACTTATTGATCAAAAGACTTATCGGAGAAGTTTATGATAGGTATTAGTTATTGATCGGTATTTCCCCTTAAAATATCAATTCATGTATAAATAGTGTATAATATTCTTGTGGTGCAGATGTAATGTATGTCTCGCTTTTTGGGAATAAGGCTGTAGTCATAGCAAACGCGCCAACTGAGGGACTGGGATCTCAGGGCTAAAAATGAAAGGTATGTATTGTGTTGTGGAGGGGGAGAGGGAGACAGTAAGTGAGACAGTAGTTCGTCATTCATCTAATGCATCATTTTTTGTTTTGTCAGCTCTCTCTCTCTCTCTCTCTCTCTCTCTCTCTCTCTCTCTCGTGTCAGACACACTGTATATCTAAAATTTAGTATTAAATGAATGGCTTTGTATTACATATAATACAAATGCTATCAGGGAACCAAGGCTATGCTATACTTGATATTTAATAAATATAAGAGTAGTTTTATTAAAGTTTTATATACAATGTATTTAATGCTCATTACATATACATATAAAAATCTACAATCAAATATCGTTTTAATAAACAAATAATAGACATTCATCTAAAATTCTGCAGACAAAATACAAAACATCGAATTTTAGCGTTAATAAAATTTAAATTATTTTGTAACCACTTTATAATCACATAAATTCATACAAATAATTAATATTTTATTAAAGAAATAATTGTATTTTTATAATACTTTATTTTACATTGTAGTACACTATTCAAAATCAATAATATATATATAACACTACACAATATGAATATTATAAATAGTATACATTATAATAATGTTCAGGAATGTGTGGAAAACCATTGAGAACGAGGCTATCAGTTATAGTGAACTAAATATTTTCTTATTCACGAGTCGTTTAAACAAAATCCTTTAGAATAATAATAAAATATTTGTTGAATCCTTTAAAACACTATGCAATATGTTTTCATAATAAAATCATATGATAATTAAGTGTTTAGTAAAAATATCATCATTTTTCTCAAATTATATTGTGAAATAAGATTTTAATAGCTTTCAATGAAAAATCTTAATATAGAATTTGTATTACAGATAATTTGTTATCCTGGAGAACTTATCCATGTACTGTATAGCATAATCTTTTTTCTTAAATTATAAAACTCAATCTTATCACTGGATTAATACCACAAATAAAACATTTTAATTAATAAAAGAAACAATTTTATTGCAAAATACAAAAAGTCTGAATATAATTATTTTATAATTAAAATTGAATACACATTTTTATTTGAAGAGAAAGTCATTGAATTTTACTTAATCTATATTTAATACTCTTAACAACTTACTTATAAACTTATTAAAATTTAATTAAATTAAACAAATATTTAAAATTCTGGAATTCTATCAATAACATAACTCAAAATAAACTGTATTATATATTTCTACACAATTATTATAGTTATACAGAATAATTTTAATTATATACTAAAACCATGTTTAGGTAAATCCCGTTTGAAATTATTATTTACGAATATATTCAATCTTAAATGGGATATTTTATTTAGTTTTCATTGAAATCTCGTATAAAATGTAAAATGCTATCAAAAGTGAAGTACGTTTCTAAATAGTACACTATTAATATTGTATATCATACATAAATATGATTACACTGTACAATATGTATGCAATTACCTTGAATTTCAGTGCTTTGAATCACATCTGATATGAATAGTCTGTGTGTTTAAGAAGGCTATTGATTGTCGAGGAGAGAGAGAGAGAAAGCAGACAGTAATGAGCGCTGAATATATGATGTATTTTTACGTATAATTCCCTTCAAATTCATTATACTGTACATTAAACACATAAAATATACGCTAATAATAAACTTAACAAAACTTATTAAAACAAAATTTAAACTCAAATCCCTGTAGGAAAACAAAATATAAAAATTATTCTGTTATTTACAGAATATACAACATTTGTAATCAGTTTAATTAAAATAATTTTAATTAAATTTTCCCCTTACTAATTAAATGTGCAATACATCTACTGTTCACTTCTACAGTTTACTAACTTTATAATACATAAAAATGGATTTATTGCAATATTCTTGAAAACAAATGAAATTAAAGTATTAAAACAAGAGATTTATATTAAAATTAAATTTACAAATTGTAATCTCGCACTTAGTTTTAATTCCTATTCACTATACAGACGTTTTAGACTGATATGTCTGTCAACTTATAGTGAACTTAACATACATTGTCTCTAATATCAGCATAGCTTTCAAAAGGTCTAATAAAAATCATTTCGAAATTCATATACAGAATTTATGGTATAAATGTTATATATATATCTATACACCACTGACAGAACACGCATATATACATGCATTTTCATAGATATATACAAGCATATATTTGTACACTATATATACACAGTAATGTGTAATTTTGTGTCAAGGTTAGTCACACACACACACTCATATATATCGTCACAGATAGCACTGAGGCTTTTTCCTCGTACTGTCAGTGCATTACAAATACAACACTCCTATTGCCAGCGATTCGTACGGCAACTAACACAGCGCTGGTACTCATAACCACAGCCAATGTTTTAGCTGCCAGTGCTGTATAACTCCGGGTGACGCGCGCCGAATAGCACAGGGAGTTAGCCATACACTGGGAGATAGACATAGACTGAACATTGAGAACTACACCATTCATACGCTACACTACCAGTGCTTGTGATTAGTGTAGAGAATCAGCGGAAAAAAGTAAAAATAAAAAATCCAAATCAAAACGGAATCTACTATTCATTGTAATAAATAAATAGTTGTTTTGTTTTTTATATTAATTTTCTTTGTGTTGTGTTTTGCTTTTTTAATACACCAATCGTCTTATGGCGTGTGATTAGTGGTGAATGAGTTTAGGGAACGGTATGTAAAGTTTTTTCTTGATTTTGTTTCGGATTCTTCCACTTCTGTCTCAAGTGTCTGAGCGCTTGAAATATACGAGCGATTAGTTTGCGAGAGAGAGAGAGAGAGAGAGAGAGAGACTGAGAAGGACTCCGACGACGAGAATAAGAAGAAAATCTATAATAAAAATTGATTTTTGTTTAGTTTTACCACTCGTATAGTGAAGTGTACGGTATATATGCCAGTATATGTGTTTGAAGCACCAGAAAACCTCCCTGTGCTCGGAGTATATGTGTCTGAAACACATGCGTTTTAATGGTACGCCTTATATATGATTCTGTACTAAAATATATGGTATATATTCATCGCTAATATGTATACAACCAGTGCTTAACACACAATCCAGACGTAATGTATAGACAACGGCACAGAATATTTATTTTGTAGATTTTATTTTTGTGTTTTTTGAAACCCACAAAAATCTATATTTTAGTTTTAATTCTTGGAGTATGATCTTCAAAGTGATGAGAAATTACAGTATATTTAAAAATAAATTTTATTGAGAAACGAAATATAAAAATGAAAAATAATATTTCATTTATTAATTAGTACCGCGAAGTGAGAGATGAAGACAATTTGATAACGAATCTGGAATTGAAATAATTATTGGATTTATATATCATGAAATCATTTATATTCTCAATACTACTGCAAATCAATTGAAGAGTTATTTTGTGTTAAAGTATTTTTCTGAAAAAAATTGTCAACAAAACTAACAAATATATTATAATTAGTTTTTGTATTAATTATAATAATAATTACATCAATAACTACAACAAAAAATTATGCCAGTTATATGATATGTATTCACAACATTAAAACAAGTGTATAATCATCTCAAATAATTAAAACATAATTAAATGGAAATTAGTCTACAAAAGACTTATCGGTCTATTAATGATGACCAGCACTCGGATTAATAATAAATTATTTTCAAATAACAACAATAATAACAATAATGTCTGTGACAGGTCAAATAGGAATTTAAATCAAAGTAAGCATATTTCTAATTTATTAATTCTGTAAATGTATCAATATTTATAATATTAAATGTAATGTAATGCAATGGATTTTAAGGATAGTATTTAAAAATATTAATTGTGTACTGAATATTATTAAGATTATTATTATATGATATATTATATTGTATTGGTATTATAATTTCAAGAAAATCGTTGGAATTACATTACGTTTGTAAATACAATGGATATTGTAGTTACCAGAATATTTAATTGATTTAAGAATCAGCAAAATATATGACTTATTCGGGGATATGAGCTATAAAACTAGTTGTAAATCATTATATTATAAATAAATCTAAATTTCACAATTTAGATGTAATTAAAATTACTAATATAATTGTCAACAAATTAGTAACCATTTAATCATTATACAATTAAAAAGCTCGACCATTTCTTGT